AGCGACCTTACCATCACGTCTCGGGAGTCGAGTGGTCAACGTGATGGGATCGCAGCACAGAAGCCGAGGTTCAACTCTCGGTAGGGTAAGATATTTCCTCATTAATTTTATGTGCACTCATTTGTTATTGCCAGGGAGGAAATATGAAAACAAGGGTATACATTCAAGAAGACCAAGGGAAAAAAATTTCTCCCTTCAAATCCACGGTATGAAATATGTCTAATGATGACACTGGCCCGCAGCCTGCATTCTTTTTCATAGATTAGGGGACCAACACACTAAGGATCAGTATGTCACATACTAATGAAACATACTTAACTTCAGTATGTGACATTCTAGTGTCATGCATTAGTGAGAATTGTCCGACATTAGTCCGACATTAGTCGTACATACTGTAGGATACTGTAGGAAAAAGTTGGAAAAGTCGAATAACTAACTTATTTCTGAGGGCCTACGTTTCAAAATACAAGTTATAACGTTAGCTTTTGAAATAGCGCTAGAGGCAGTAAAGAAATGAGTTCAGAGCCATGGAAGCCATAGCTCTGTCAACGTCGCGAAGTAGAGCTGGCCATGGCGATGGTAGAATAATTAATTTCTGGGTTCAAAGCGTACTTTCACGCCACCAATGTACCGCAACACCAGGTCAAATGTAGTTTTAAACTGACTTGGGTCAGAGATGCCATCTGAAGCGGGAAAAACCTGAGGAAAGAAAAGTAATTGATAAGGTTCTGAGGAATCTCAGGAAGAAGTGCAATCTCGCACGTTCTCTGCCCTTGTGAAATGTTTCGAACAAAAAGACTATAGTACATCATAACCGAGATAAAATTTGAAATCAATAAAGTAACTTCTTTGCCAACGATAGAATACTAAGAAGGACAAGTGAGCAAATTAAAACTGACCAGATGTCACCGTCCGATTGTACCCCCCGGCACCAGTAACCCCCCGGTACACCATCCCTAGTTACAATGTACCCCCAACCCACGAGGGTCTAGGGTACGTGTACCCCTTGCTTCGAGGGTTGGGGGTACGAAACCCAAGGATGGTGTGTGTACCCCCCGAGGTAGGGCTGGGCGGTATTTTTTCCCCAAAACCAATGGTCAATATAGTTTTATATTGGAATTCCGGGCAATGTCAATATTCTGTATTGGATACTGACAATATTGTCAATATTGGATGTTGACAATATTGTCAATATTGGATATTGACAATATTGTCAATATATGAATATTTACAATATTGGCAATATTGGAATATTGGAAATATTGGCAATATTGGAATATTGGAAATATTGGCAATATTGGAATATTGGAATATTCAAAATATTGCAGTTTTGAATGAAAAATAGTACTTCACCAGAAATGCTTAACCATTTTCTTATAGACGTAGATCTGCAGAAATTATTTTCTTTCGTGAAAAGGGCACACTAGCAGTGCATGTCAGTCACCATAATATTAGTGATTTACAACCCATTCGTCAAACTGTTCTACTGTTGTAGTTGGTAAGTACTTTGTTCTAAAGTGCAAGTGGTAAACTAAACAGTTCTACAGTAGCAAATGTAAGATAGAAAAGTTCACCCAGAACTTCGGAATTTCTAGTCCCGTATGCATGCATTAGAGTGCAAACGAGAACCTATGACTTCTTGCAGTTCTTAGCGACAAACGATGTTGTTCTGCAGTTGCAAATGCGGAACGAGAGGGAACTCAATATGGTATTCTAATGGAGCGCGGAGCGGAAGCAAGAAGAACAAAAACGGAAGGTGGAAAGGCGTTCGCACACCTCCCCGCCTGCCGCCCTCTCCTCCCCGGGCGCTCCCCCACTCCGTCTAGTTGAAGAGAGGGGGACGGCGTGGGCGCCTTTCCACCTTCCGTTTTTGTTCTTCTTACTACCGCTCCGCGCTCCATTGGAATA